CCTGAAGGACATTAGTGAACCAGATGGGTTTTTGTGACAATCAATGATGGTTACATGGTTATCATTAAGTGAGCTTTTTAACTCCAGATTTTTTATTGAACTCAAATTTCACCATCTGCCTTGGTGAGATTTACACCACATATTAGAGCATTAACCTGGGGTTGTGGAATAGTAGTCCAGTGACACTACCATTACAGCACCACTTCCCCACAATTGTAATCTGCCATCCTTACCTGCTGTGGCTTATATGTGACTCCAGACCCATGGCAATGTGGCTGATTCTTAACTGCCCTCTGAAATAGCCAATCAAGCTCCTCAATTCAAGGGACAATAAGGGATGGGCAACACTTATCTGCCCTGTCTATAGCACCCATATCCCATGAAAGAAGAAAACATATAACCTTTAATATTTGTTATTTCAAGGTGCTTCACAAGGCTGATTGCCATACAAAATTGAACACTGAGACATAGAAGGAGATACTCAGACAAATACCCAAAAACCTGGTCAAAAAAATAGGCTTTTAAGGTGGGCTATCACAGAGAATGGAGCAAATAGAGAGGGTGAAAGATTTAGGGAGGGAAATCCAGAGCCTGAGGCCTAGACAGCCCCAAGGAATGGCCACCAATAATGGAGTGAAGGAAACTGAGGGTATGCAAGGGATCAGAATTGGAGGGATGCTGTGATCATATGCTAATCATAGAATCCCTACAGTATGGAAACAAGCCCTTCAGCCCAACAAGTCCACACTGACCTACAGAGCATCCCACCAGGCCCCTCCCCCTAATCTACATGTACCTGAACACTACAGGCAATTTAGTATGGCCACTTTACCTAGTCTGCACATCTTTGGACTGTGGGAGGAAACCTGAGTACCTGGAGGAAACCCACGCAGACATGGGGAAAATGTGCAAACTCCACACAGACAGTTGCCCAAGGGTGGAATCAAACCCGGGTCCCTAGCGCTGTGAGGCAGCAGTGCTAACCACTGAGCCACCATGTGATCTTGGAGAGTTACACAGCGAGGGAAACAGGAGGCCAGGAAAGGACTGAGAAAACAAGGCTGAGGGATGTAGATTTGAGGCATTGCTGGGATAGAAAGCCAGTGAGTGCAGGGGCAATTGATGAATGGGGCTTGGTGAGAGACAGGATGTGGGAGGCAGTTAATGGGATGAATTCAGAATTACATAGGCTTGAAGGTGGAAGGTAGGCGAGGCCAGCAATGGAATTGTCTTTCAACTGCAGCAGGGGTTGTACATCATGCAGCCGAACCATTCACATCTGTTTTACATTCCCAACTTTGAAGGTAAAATGATGTTTTATATACCAGCAGGATATTCCACCATGAGTTGCATCACTCTCAAGTCCAATCCTAAGCCCCTTCAAACATCTACAGAGGGAGATATTATTAAATTAGATTAAAGAAAAGATTTATGAGGATGTTACCAGTAATGGAGGGTTTGAGTTATAAAAATACGCTGGGGACTTCTTTCACTGGAGTGCAGGAGTTGAGTGGTGACCTTATAGAAAATGATAAAATCATGAGGTGAATAGCAAAGGTTTTTTTTCATAAGGTGGGGGAACTCAAACCTAGAAGGCATGTTTTAAGGTGAGAGGAGAAAGATTTAGAAAGGGTATGAGGGGAAACGTCTCTCGCACAAAGACTGGTTCGTGAGTGGAATGAACTGCCAGGGGAAGTGGTGGATGAAGGTACAATTACAACATCTAAAAGACATTTGGATAAGTACATGAAGAGGAAAGGTTTGGAGGGATATGGGCAAAATGCAGGCAGGTGGGACTATTTTAGTTTGGGAACATGGTTAGTGTGGAGTTGTTGGACTGAAGGATCTGTTTCCATGCTGTATGACTCTATGACTCTAAGTAACATATAAATTGGAGAGTAATTGGGAATGGGTACTTCCAACATCCATCCCTCCCCCATACATATTCCCATCTGTTTTCTCAATCCTGATTGTTAGTGCACGCAAGCTGGAGCCCTGTCTTCCTTAGTTAACGTTACCACCAGGTCAATGTGCAGGGAAAGGGGCCCATAGTCCAATTAAGTAGGGTGGAAGGACACGTTCAGTTTATTCCAGTAAGTTCTTTGTGCATGACATTTTTATTCCCTCTTTATTCAGTCTAGGGATGTGAGTGTCACCAGCATTATTATAATATAATAATGATACTCGAGTAACTTGCAAGGGCCACTTCACAGGATAGTTAACCATTTTGTTTGTGGATCTGGAGTCAGGGCAGACTTTGTAAGGACAGCAGATATCCTCCCAGTTCATTGAACCAGATGGCTTTTTACAGCAATCTAGTAGCTTCATGATCAATATTATGAATGAAACTAGCATTTTTAGTTTTATTGACGTAATGAGTTTAAGTTCCACCAGCTCCTGTGGTGGGATTTGAATTTGTTTCCATTGAGTATGAGTCCAGACCCTTATGTTACTCAGCTAGTGACTCAGCTACTCTAGCGATTGTAATGAGGTCAGCCAGATGGACCTCATAGAATATGAGTTCCCTGATTGGGTTGTTAATCTCATCCAATCAGGGAGCCCTGGCTGACAGATATAAACAGGAGTGTCAGAGATTCTGTTCACTGTATTCACTGTGAATAATTAGGAGATCTGCAACTGGGCATGCTGCAATGCATATACTCTCTGTCTGGTCAAAACCACTGTCTCCCTTCTGCTTTGCACTGCGTTGATCTTCGGAAATGTAGATATGTGGCTAAGTGTCAAATGTGGGCAAATAAAGTACTTGGCAGATGAAGTGAACAGTTATTTTTCATTGGTCTTTATGCCGAGGTAATAAGTAACATTCTGATACAGCTGTAACTCAGAAAGTGGAAGGGAGGAAGAAACTCAAGTAAATTACAATCACCAGGGAGATAATACTGAGCAAATCATCAGAGCTGAGGACTGACAAGGGTAAAGGTTCTGATGGACTTCAACCTTGGGTCTTACAAGAAGTGGCAGTTGAGAGATTTGATGCGTTGATTATAATTTTATAAAAATCCCTTGATTCAGGGAAGGTTCCATTAGCGTGGAAAATAGTGATTGTAACTCCTTTACACAAAAAGAGAGACAGACAAACAGAAAGCTAAAAACTACAGGCCACTTAGCCTAACATCTGTCATAGGGAACATGAGAAGCTGTTAATAAAGAAGTTACAGCAAGATACTGAGAAAAGCTTAAGAGAATCTGGCAAGTCAACATGGTTTTGTGAAAGGGAACCCATGTTTAAGTAATTTATCGAAGCTCATTGCATGATATGTTGTAGGTTAAGGGAACCAGTAAATGTACTGTGCTTAAATTTCCAGGAGACACTGGGTAAGGTGCCACATCAAAGATAATTGCAGAAAATAAGAGCTTGTGATGTAGGGGGTAACATATTGGATAGAAGAATGGCTGGCTAATGGGAAGCAGAGAGTAAGCAAAAATGTGTCATTTTCTGTTTGGCAAGATGCAATGAGTGATGTGCCGTAGGGATCATCATTTTACGATTTATATAAATGACTTAGACAGAGTATGACTGCTAAATTTACTGTTGACACAAAGATCAGTAAGTTGCGAAGAAGACATAAAAAGGCTACAAAGGTGTTTAGATAGATTAAGTTAGTGGGCAAAGATCTAGCAAATGGAACATAAAATGTGAAAATGTGTAATTGTCTATTTTAGCAGGAAGAATGAAAAATAATTGTACAATCTAAATGGTGAGAGATTGCAGAATATTTGAATGTGGGGAAGCTGTTGTGCTGCAGCTCCTCAACAATTCTGGCTGACCAGGAGACTGTCCCACTCTTAATGGCTACCACTGGTGTATTACAATGATTTACCAATCAATAATCTATGAATAATTGTTTGGCCATGTTACGGCACACTATCTGTGAAGGCTTGATGTGGGACTTGAACTTGAGCTTCTGGCCCAGAGGTAGGGATGCTATAGTACACTCCTGCACCTATTTTCCATTATCTATGTGCCACAAGATATTTGTTAAGGTGACAGAAAGTATATTGCAGTTGGTGTTGTATATGTTGATTTTCAAAAGGCAGTCAATAAAGGATCACATTTCTGGCTTGATATCAAAATTAAAGCCTATTGGATCAAAAGGGCAACAGCACAGATACAAAATTGGCCACGAGATAGAAAACAAGAGAGTTATGATCAATGGCTGTTTTCAGACTGGAGAGAGATATTTAATGATGTTCCCCATAGTCCAGGATTAGGGTCACTGATACGTTTGATACACATTAATGACTTGGACGTTGGGGTACAGTGCTCAACACTGAAATTTGAAATACCCCATGTATTTTGGAATTGCAGTAAATAGTGAGGAAAAGGACCCAGACACTTGGATAGGCTGGTGGAATGGATACCTTCTCACCACCTTCACAAGGGCAACTAGGGATGGGCAAGGAATGCTGGCCAACCAGCGATGCCCGCATCCCACAAATGAATCGAAAAAAAAACAAATGGCGGATAAACTTCAATGCAGGAAAGTGAGACGTGATACCCTGATTGGTCAGAGGATGGGGTGAGACAATACAAGTTAAAGAGCACAGTTTAAAGGGGATGGAAGAATAGAGAGACATTGGGGTTTTTGTGCATAAATCTTTGAAGATACAGGTTCAGGTCAACAATTGGGATTGTGAACTTATTGAATAATGACACTGGGAACAAAAGACAGGAAGTTATACTAAACCTGTATAAAACACTAGTCCAGCATCACTTGGACGATTGTGTCCAATTCAGGGCCTTGTGTTTTAGGAAGAACATTGAAGGCTTTAGAAATGTAGAGCTTTACTAGAATTGTTCCAAGGAGGAGAGATTTCAGTTACAAGGACTGACTACAGAAACTAAGGTTGACCTCCAAAAAAAACAGAGCTGGTTAAGACAAGGTTTGACAGAGGCGTTTGAAATCACTTCTGGTTTAGATTCAGTAAATGAAAAGAAATTGTTTCAAATACTTAAAATGTTTATGTTTCATTTTTAGGAATTGTTAAAGGAGGGATTTGGCAGAATCAGGACTGAAATCTGAGAGCCTGAAGAAGATTTTGTTCATGGTGAAAGCTACCAATACCAGCTCTGGCACTGGCACCAGCATGGGCAGCAACAGATACAGCAGCAAAGAACATCTGAAATATCGGCATCACACAAAGGATGAAAAGTAACTCCTCTAAGTAAATGTCTTGTGGGTAAACCCATACAGGAACCACAACATACTCAGCAATGTTTAAATATTTGCTGACCACATATTTTTACTCCATTTGTTTTTGGGATGTGAGTGATGTCAATAAAGCCAATCTTTATTGGCCATCTCTCGAATCCCTGGTGGTATGATGATTCAGTCATTTAGCATAGGGCTGGAGTAACATGTAGACCAGATTGTGTTGAAGTGATGGGTTCCCCTCCTACAAGGTGAACCAATTAGGTTTTTAAAACAATCAGCGGACTTCATGATCCATTTCCAAGTTCATTGATTGATCCAATTTAGTTTCTCAACTTAATCTGGTGGGCTTCAACCCCATAACCTTTCTGGACCAGCTCCACAATCAACCCATTGCCATGCCAACTCGTTACACATTACTGCCTCAAATTTCAAAATCAAACTCAATTTACCATAAAATTCCACACATTTAGGGAAATCAAATAAGACTGTAAACACCATAAAAATCCAAAATATAGATTCAAATAAACAATGGGAAAATGTTACCAAGTGAATGGAATGGAATCGGTTACAGTCGAGGAGGGAAAATCTATGGGTTATTTGCAAGATAGTTGCCAGGTGCAGTGGGAAGACAGTGAGACTTCACAGAACAGATGAGTGAGGACAGGCTAAAGGTTGACCTTGTCAAATAGTACCTTGCTCTCAAAATTGCTCTTGGTTTGATTAACAGCTAAATGGGTAGGGGCTCATATACTATGCCATTGCCCATTCTTTCAGTGGAGACATTTAAACTGAGCATGTTTAATAGGATGGCTGTCCACAGAAACTAATGGTTCAAGTAATACTAAATACAACTATGCTCACCCATAATTCTTATGAGCACAAAGGTATTGTCAACTGATGTTTCTCTACCCCTCAGTAAGATATAGGTACACTGATGGTATTTTTTAGTCACTCACTCAATAAAGGAGATATGCGTACAGTGACTGGCATTTCCCAGTCCCTCATTTCATCAGGGTGATGTATACTGACTGGTGTGTTTCAGTCATCCACTTTCTCAGGGAGGTGTCCGTACATTGACTGATGGCTGTCAATCCCTCACTCTCCCACAGAGATACATCTACATTGGTTGGTGTCTCTCAGTCCGCGATTCTGTTGGGGAAGCATCTGTACATTGATTGCTGTCTCACAGTCCCTGAGGAAGATACCTGTACATTGATTGCATTTCTCAGTCCCTCACTCCCTCAGGGAGATATCTGTATGCTGCCTGGTGTCTCTCATTCCCTCAGGAAGATACCCATACATTGCCTGGTGTCTCTCGTTACATCAGGGAATTACCTGCAAACTGACTAGTGTCTCTCATTCCCTCAGAGAGGTACCTGTACACTGAAGGGAGTCTGTCACTCCCAACAGGAAATATCCGTACACTGACTGGTGTCTCATTATATCAGGGAGATATCTGCATGCTGACTGGTGTCTCTAACCCCCTGCAAGAGATATTTGCACACTGATAGGAATCTCTTATTCCCACTGGGAAATATTTGTACACAAACTGGTATCTCTGAGACTTTCGTGACTTCCTATCCTTATGTGCAGATGATTGCCTGAATAGTGAGAATAGGCTGTCCTATCCGTTCAAGCCTGAGACCAATTTGAATTGAACAGGTATTGATGAAGGAAAAGAGCGTCAGTACATTGGCGGTAAATGACTGTGTATTCCAGGCTCAGTTGCTGATGTCTCCCTTTTGTAACATGAAGATGAAGTGATTTTTGTTGCAAGGAGAGGAGTTTGCAATTTTATCCGTTAAACGAAACGTGCAGCCTTTAGGCTAAACAGCTGGTGTATGCACATGGTTCTGTTTGATTACGTGAGTGGAACTATTGCCTTAAATAAAATAATTTGTCTTCCAAATTGTTGTGCGGTGTCCTTTTGTTTCATTCATGTAAACCCCTGCACCATTTCTCCTGCCTAACTGGACAGATGGAATTAAAATGCAGATCAGTCATGATCAAATGGAATTACAGAAGATGTTTGTGCGTTGAATGGTCTCCTCTTTCCTCTAGGATGTTTTGTAAGGATGGCAGTTTCCTTCCCTAAAGGATATTAGTGTATCATCTGCTTTTTACAGCAAAACAACAATTTAATGACAGCTTTTACTTAGTCCTCACCATTAAAAGTCATCCATATTGACAACAGGCAGTGTCTTGTAATCTGCCCAATGAATCATTAGCTGTTCATATTAATGGAAGTTTCAAAGTTGCCTAGTGCTCAAAATAAATGGAATACTCACGGCTGCACTTACTTACTACATTGTAACACACTGAAGTGAATGATAAAACAAACATTTGGAAAGAACATCACCTTAATGTTTATTTACTTTCTGTAAATTTAAAGCTCTTCTAATTTGCTCAAAGTGGTATGTGGTTGCAGTTTGTATAAATCACTGCTATGCAATCTTGATCTCCAGCATTCTTGTGAGAATGTATTTTAAAAGGGTAGAAGTAGAAAAGATGGTTTCAGTTGTGAGGGGGATACCAGAACTGTAGGCCACAAGTATAAAATATTCACTACTAAATTCAATGAGGAATTCAGGAAAAACTTCTTTACTGGTAAAGTGGTGAGAATGTGGAAATCACTGCCGCAAGGAATGGAATTTAATGTGGAGCTACATAAGCACAATTGAGGAAGAAAGTAAAAAAATGCCTAGATGAGATGAACTAAGCTGGGACAAGACTGTATATTCTCTGCAATAGCAGCGCACTGTAATAATGTTTTTTGCATTAAATGGGTCATTGTGTTGAATGGACAAGTCTCATTTGAATGAACAAGCTGGGTCTGAATGATATAAGTGATACCAGCTTTTAATTCCTACAATTTTTGAAAAAATTGAATTGATATCATAAAACTTCTGTGATGGAATTTGAGCTCTCACTTTCTGGACTACTAAAGCTGCAATGTAATCATACCACCATATATTCAAAATATTATTTTTCTGGTGCAGCTGGGTTTAACATAAATATTCAGTTAATGTTCCCCTTTTAGTAATTTCAGCTGTTACCTAGATAAGGTAAATAGAATCCTTCAACCAAAAGCAGTAAATGCTAGAAATGTTCAGGTCCAATGTCTTCAATGGAGAGAGAAGTATAGTTAATGTTTCAGATTGATAAACTTTCATTCAACTTTCATTACAGATTCACAACATCCTGAGATTTTGTTCTGAGGAAGAACAAAGAATGAAGAACAATACAGCACTGGAACAGGCCATTTGGCCCTCCAAGCCTGTGCCAACACATTTTGCCTTTCTATACTAAAACTGTCCTCACTTACAGGATTCATATCCCTCTATTCCCTCTACTCCCCTCCTATTCATGTATTTGTCCAGGTGCTTCTTGAATGCTGTTATTGTGTCTGCTTCCATAACCTCCTCTGGCAATGTGTTCCAGGCACTCCCCACCCTTTGTATAAAACTTGTTTCACACAAAGGGTGGTGAGTGCCTGAATTTTACACAGGAACGGTCACTCAACCAAAATGTGAACTCTGACTTCTCTCCATAGATTCTGCCAGACCTGCTGAGCTTTTCCAGCAATTTCTGTTTTTGTTTCTGATTTACAGCATCTGCAGTTCTTTCGGTTTTTATCCTAAGATTTTTGTTGTATTTCAATGGATTCCTTGATTTTCTATGAATTGAATGAAATACAAAGCCAGAGGTGTGAAGTTTTACAGTTTCTGGGATTATCTCTTGTATCATAAATTCAAATCTTTTTTAACATAGCTGTTTAGCTTGTAATAGCTTCATTCTACCACTGGAGGACAGCATTGCTTCACATGTTGCATCATGCTTGATGGTGAAGACACATGAACAAGGAGCTACAGAAAATTTATTCTGGGAAAATTTAATCTCTCTCGAAAGAAACTATTTTTTGTATTGTCCCTTCCACAATCTCAAGCCATCCCAAAGTGCTCAACAATGCATTGATGGAGCATTCCCTCGCACAATCTTCAGTGGAGAAAATCTTTGTTCTTCAGGATTAACAAAAGATATGACCAAGAAAGCATTGGCATTTACTGTGCCATTAGGGTGTTCCAGAGAATAGTTCTTTACCTGCATCATCTGTCTGTGACCAAACTCCTAAAAACATGGAATTAGATTAATGTGCAATCATCTATTGTTGTGGCTCAGCGAAAAACATTAGAGCCTGCAAGAACTTGCATTTATATAGAACCTTTCATGACCGCAGGACAAATTAAGACACTTTACAGCCCATGGGATTAAAAGGATAGTGGGAGTTTAGTTACAAGTAGGCTAAGGAATATGTATTATACTACACAGTCAGGATGTCAGCGTGCCTTTAAGAGACACACTCATGTTATTATTGCTGTCTGCATTATGGTGTGTGATGTGGACTCCTAAAGAAACCCTGCCTTATCTAACCTCAGATTATTTGAACCATGATACTCTGCGAGAAGCGGGTTCCTTTATTGTAAACTAATAATTGAATACTAGCCCTGATACTTATGTGCCTGAGGAATATAGTATTTGTACCTAATAGTTGATTATAATAAATATCTGTTGGATTCTCCAATAATCTGGACATCAATGCCCAGATACTTATTTTACTGGAAGTAACATTAGCATTGTCACATCAGGTAAATCGTTCCTGTCAGAGGTAAGCATATATCAGGACAGGAAGCAGAGAATAATAGTGGATGGTTATTTTTAAAGATAGTGTTCCTCTGAATCAATATTAAGACCAATGATCCCTTTTAAATCTAGTTGTTGTACATGGCCAAGATTTCTCAGTACATGGTCTCTTAAGATTTCCTTGTACAGTAGCAATATTGGCCTGCATGATCTCTTCTTGGCTGAAACACAGCTTAGCAGGGACTTGGTTTAGATTCTAATTTTGTTACGTATTAATGGTCAGGTCTAGGGCTGACACAGCATACTTTCAAACTTTGAAACTATCATGAACCTGGTACTTGATGGCAATGATGTGGAGAACAATACCACGAATTAGTAGCAGGCTAGTGAAGTTGATGGACACAAGTGGATGATATTTAACCCAGCAAAGTCTGAGGTGATACATGTTGACAGAATGTCTAAGGCGAAGGAATATAAACAGAATGGTACAACTTCTGCATGAACAGAAAGACCTGGATGTGGGTGGACACAAGTATTAAAAGGCAGGAAGGGAAGGTTGTGAACAAAGATTTATACGTAGAAGTTCTGTACAATGGCAAAGAAGTTAAACAGCAATGAAAGCAACAACAACTTTACTTAAATTGTGCTTTCATTAGAATGGAAACACGCCCAATCTGCTGCATATTATCAATCAAAAATTTTGCACCAGGCTCTTAAGGATGATCAAATCTGGCCAAAGAGGTCAGTCTAAAAGAGCATCTTAAAGAGGAAACAAAAAGTAGATTGAGAGCATTCCAGAGCTTAGGGGATATAAAAAGATTTATTCCTTCTTGGGATGTGGATGGCACTGGTGAAACCAGCATTTGTTGTCCATCCCTACTGCTCTTGACGTGAATGACTTGTTAGGTCATTTCAAAGGGCAGTTAGGAGTCACCTGTGTGTCTGGACCCAGGTACAGCCCAAACTAGGTAAGGATGGCAAACTTCCTTCCAAGAACAACATTAGTGAGCTAGATGGATGTTTACAACAATCAATGATCATTCATGATCACAATTACTTAGACTAGCTTTCAATTCCAGATTTTTATTTATTGAATTTTAAATCTTACTAGCTACCACTGTAGGATTTGAACCCACATCCTCAGAATGTTAGCCATGTCCCCAGGATTGCTAGTCTATGACTTAACCAAATTTTTCATTCAATTATATGACAAGGACTTCACCGACTGGGTCAGCATTTATTGTCCATTTAGAAGGTAGTGGTAAGCTGTCCTCTTGAGCTGCAGCAGTTGACTTGACCCCTGCTATTAGGGGTGGAGTTCCAGGATTTTGAACCAGCGATACTGAAGGAACAGAAATAAATTTCCAAGTCAGGATGGTGCGTGGCTTGGAGGGAGGTATAGCATGTGGTGGTGATACTATGCATCTGCTGTCCTTGTCCGTCTAGATGGTAGAGACTGTGGATTTGGAGGGTATTGTGTATGGAACCTTGGTGGATTTCTGCAGTGCATCTTGGACACAATGCTGCTACTGTGCACCACACCTACTGATGGAGGAGAAATTGAATGTTTGTAGATGTGTCGCAAGTCAAGCGGGCTGCTTTGTCCTGGATAGTATTTAGTTTTTTGAGTGTTGTTGGAACTGCACACATCCAGGCAAATGGGGAGTATTCCATCACACTTCTGACTAGTGCCTTGGAGATGGTGAATAGGCTTTCAGGAGTTAAGAGGTGAATTACTAGCTGCAAGATTCCCAGCCTCTGACCTGATCTTATAATGTCCGTACTTATACGATGAGTCCTGTTCAGTTTCTGGTCAATAGTCACACAAGGACGTTGATAGTGAAAGATTCAGCTATGTCAATGCAATTTAATGTCAAGTGATGATGGTTAGATTCTCTTGTTTTAAATTGTCATTGGCTGGCATTGTGTGCTGCAAGTGTTACCATTTGTCAGCCTCAGACCAGATATTATACAGACCTTGTTCATTTAGACAGATACTGCTTCAGTGTCTGGGGAGTCATGCACATTGTGTAATTGTCATTGAACATCCCTATTTTTGATCTTAGGATGGAGGGAAGATCATTGATAAAGCAGTTGAAGATGGTTGGGCCATGGACACTATCTTGATGGGCTTCTGCAGAGGTGTCCTGGAGCTGAGTTGACTGACCACAACCATCTACTTTGTGCTTGGTATGACTCCAGCCAACATAGAGATCTTTCCCCAATTCCC